ATATATATATTTCTTTCTATCTATCTACCTAGAATATTCTATTTTGTAGTTCAATCTGGACTTGAACTAAATATGTAGCCCAAGCCGACTTCAAACTCATGGCAATCCTCCTGCCTCAACTTCCTAGGCACTGGGATTATACGCTTACACCACTATGCCTGGACAAGATTTCTTATTTTAAATTTTAAAAAATAATCTCTTTGCTGAATTTTTCACTAATATCACAAATTGTTTTTCTTATTTCTTCACTCTATGTATACATTCTTTTATCTCACTGAACTTCCTTTGAATTCTTCTTTTCAATCCCCTTTCAAGTATTTTATCAAGTTCCTTTTACTTAGGGTCTGTTGATAGAGGGTCATTTTGTTCTCTTGAAGGCATCATGTTGCTTTTTTTTTCATATTTCTTTGTCCCCACATTGGCATTTTTTCATCTGGTAGATATGTTGCCTTTACCAGTTTTGTAGCCTTTCATAGTAAGAGATTTTCTTCTGAAGATATCATCTAGGGTGTTATTTGGAATAGTAGTGTATAGTCTTTGAATGGTTTCTTCAACTCTAACTGAAGGTTTTGGGAGAGGCACATTTAGAACAGGGGTGGAGAACCCAGGTATCTTCCAGGGCCGGGTGAGGGTATGGGCCCTGGGTTGTGGTATTGTACATACCAGCGGGCACTGGAAGTTGGTGCACATTGTAGCAGGAGTGTGTCTGCCATTCTCCATGACTATACGGGGGAGGGAGTGAGATCATTCCAGTGTCCTGAGTGGGTGTTGGGCATTGTACGCACCAAATGCATTAATCTCAGACCGTAGAGAAGCAGAACCATTCCAGCAACCTCAGGCAGGTGTGTGCTGAGGTGAGGGCAGGATGACTATTGACACGTGGTGCACATTTGTCAGTCCACCAGTTGCCCAGGGATGGGGTCACTCTAGAGGCCCAGCCACAGGTTGTGCACTCATGATGATTGGGAAGAACCCTGAAGCTTATCAGACGTCAGTGGGAGCAAAGTGACACACTGTACAGTTGCCAGTCTCTGTGGGCTGCACTGAGGTGGATGTCTCTTAGGGTACATTGGTCCTGGCAGCATGGGCCATATGATTGAATTTAATCTCAAAATGGTGCCACACAGCACAAGTCTGGATGCTGGATGGTACAACATGAGTTGAGTTCACCCTTTGAAGTGGTAAAATAGGGCCCAACAGATCCTCTGGTTGGATTCAGGGGGACTTCAGACGTTCATGAGCTGATTGAGGCCTTTTATTTAGCATTTTTCCTTCATAAAAAGGCTTTTCCAGATTCCAACTGATTT